AAGATTCTCTTACCCAGGCCCTGTTTAAATCATTGACCACTTGCTCTTTATACCATTTCTTTCTTAAAATCTATTTCTTATCCTTGCTTTTGGTTATCTCAGTTCTAATTTCATGGATTAGATGCCTCCTGTACTTTATTTTACAGATCTTCCTTGGTTTTATTCCCTGACTGCTCATTCCTACCTAAGACCTGGGAGATTTGAGACCTTTTCTCCCATCAATCTCAGCCATATATGATTGTATTGACCCTGGTCCCTTTTTGTGTCCAGGTTGGGTGGTCAGGTGTTACTTGGTATGTATGACTCCATTTCAGGTTCTCCTCAGTCGTTTATTCTTGCTATGAAACCCCTCTTCTTCCAGGGATCTCTCATTCTCTATGCTCAACCAGATAATGTATTTCTTTCTACATGGAGATGCTTGCAGGTTGTATCATGATTCATCACATTAAATCTGCCACATGACTCACTCTTTGGCCTTGCACTTTCAATGACCATTGGATGAGATCCTCCAGGCTGAAATGTGTACTACACCTAACACCTTTGTCTCCAATTATCTCAACTATCTCATGGTTTCATCTTCCTCTGAATATCACCTCCTTTCGATTGCCACTCTAATACTACTTACCATCTTTAACTGGTAGATGACTCTATTATTTCCTTACATGTTTATACTGTCCTCCAATTCACTTCTTGGATCCTGCCCAGTGGTCCAGTATTGCCTCCTAATGTATACTTACTTTTATAAACCTATGTCAAGTCAGGGGGTAATGGAAAGTGTTAAACCCATCTGCTCTGACTCCTAAAATGCCCACTGTTGGGATGGTGCTACATATATATATTCCACTGTCCATACCAGACTGTACCTTCCATGGACTATCTTGGATAAACCCAACATTGGAGGAGTGTTTGTCCACATACTTGGCTTGCACATGCTAGTTTTTAAAATTTGGATTTGAGGTAACCAACTGCACTTTCTCCAGTAAAAGACCTTTGCATTGGTTATGTCCGATCAGATCCAGCCACTTTTCTGGTGTCTCCCTAACTCTAACCACCCCCTTCCTCCAGTGTTTATGTAGAGCACAGAAGTTCCTTGCCACTGGGTTGACTGACTGACTTGGAGAGTTTCTCATTGTTTATGCAATCCATGCAGAGACAGTCTGAGTAGGTATCACAGTGCAGTGGGAAATAGGGTAAAAATCTTTGTCAGTATAGTGCAGACCATCCCCTATTGTATAAAATTTCAATTTCCTGGTGGTTTAGCCAGCCATATGGGGCAAAGTGTTTTCATCATGAACAGGAAGGGTCTCAGTCCCCATTCCTGTGTGTGAGTAAATTATACACAGAAAAAATACTAAAGCATACATTGCTGTAGCCACACTACACCTCTTGTCTAACTGATCAGTTGTGTGCAAATGCTCAGTTGGTCACACTTTTTTTACACCAATCGCTGTGACACATTTGCTAATTTTGCATTCCTTTCCTACTTTCCATCCAGGTAAAGAGTATACTCTACATGAGATGGATGTGGTCTTCCATGAGTGTTACCTTTTTAGTAAGCTCCTACTGTAGGGTGTCACACTCCATGGACTTTCCCCTTCAGTCTTCTTCTCTGAAGGAAGCTCATCTAGGTTTTTGCAATTGCTCTGGTCCTCCACCACATCAGTGTATGTTTCTAGCTACTGTATGCACAGAGTTAAGGGTATTGTTTTGGAAGTTAATATTTTTCTTACCTGAAAATGTTTTTCTGACAGATACCTCACTTCACACCTTTCCACCCTTCCTCCTAACTATTGGTGCACAATCTTTTTGCCTCATGTAAGAATGAACTTAATTTCGAGTTCAACTGCTTATGGGGACCTACTACACATAAATGTTTCTCCTTTCTGTTGGTGGAGGGCTATTTTCACATTATAATAATATCATGCATTAGCACAATTTACATTACAGCATGGTTAGTTACATGTGCAAAATCTCAAAGGCAGACCCACAATAGCTATTGTGTGCAGAAAAGTAAGTATCTATAAGAAATACATTTTCAGATAAGGAAAATGTTAACATTTCTGTTATTACAAATACTTAGGTTCTTGATACTTTTCTCTACTAATGTAAGCCTATAGACAAATGCAAGAGTTAGGAAACCCTATCATTTGTTTATTTTATAGCTCATTAATATGAAAGCTCTTTCTTCATTGATATCTTCTGTGAATAAACACAATTTTTTATTTTTTTACTAATTGTGCTACTTCTTCTGAACAAGATATTGTATCCTTATTTAGTTGCACTACTGAGTATTGATATTTTCCATCACAAGTCAGTTTAATCCATGAGCTGGGATATTCCTGTTGAAGAACATTATTGGTCAGTTTGCAATATATAATGACTGTTCACTGAATGATGTGACTCTCTTCTCTGTCCATCTGTTATACAGGTGGCAAATCATATAATTTGAGATTAGTGTTTTAACTATGCCTTGCTGCCATATACAGGCAGAGATCATTAATAGAAATTTGGAAATTATAATGTAAAATAATGTAGAAAAAAAAGTAAAGAAAATGAGTACCAGTTTTTTTAAATTTATAAGCTAGTACCAGTAGGTTGATCTTGAGTAAACAGTTGAACATTAAATAACACACTGTTTTAATTTTAAATACTTCATGTTATGTTCTGAAGAGTATGACATTGATATTTATGAAATGTATAGATTAATTATGGAAATGTTTTAAAGTAAACCTTTCTGATTTTAGATTAATAAAAGCATGAAAGATATTCCAACCATGGCAAACTGGTTAGCTGAAGGAAGCAGTCACTCCACTCATGAAACACTTTATGTTGGCTTACCAAAAGATATTATGGAAAATGGTCAAAGCAAGCTAAAGAAGATTTTGTTTCCACATTTTCAAGACCTTTATGATCTAGTACATTATTATGGTAGGAATTTGTATTATACATTTAAAAAAGTAATTTGGCAAATGATATTACACCTGTTTTTTGTTTTCATCTGCCTTGATAAAAAAAACTGTAGAATGAACTTTATGATATCCTGATTGTATAATTAATTCCAAAACATACCACTTTTCACACTAAAGCTATTACTCAACTGCTAGGGTTTCTTTCCTTTGTCCATCTAAGCATTGGTCTAATTTTATTCTCTACTTAACTGCTCATAGTGATATCTGTCTCCTGACACTCTCAATCTATGTCAGTGCATCGTCTTATCTTAGTAATGTATATAAGCACCTTCTTCAGATAATATTGTCACTTTTTCTTGAAAAAGCATTCACTAACGGGTTTCTCTGTAGTATGACTGTTCTTAGCATTACTTATTTGATTTTTGTAAAAAAAAAGCAAAAAAACCTCATTTGGCAAGCCAATATATGGCATGAATTTTCATATTAATCTATCCAGCATGGAGGCAAAAGGCAAATCAGGTCTCCTATCCCACCTATAATATTTGGGGGGGGGGGGTCTGTGGAGCTTATCTGTAGTGAAATGGAAACATACATTTAGTCCAGCACCTTCCTTTACTCTGTCAGATTCTCATGAGGCCAATGTGGATTAGCTGCCTCTGGCTCCTTTTCCTCAGTTGGTCCATTGAGTGTGTCATGTTTTGGGTCTTTCCCCAGTTGTTTTTGAGTCTACACTTTCCTTACTGGTGGTAAGGTCTGAGGCATGTACTTAGTTCTCCCTCCACCCCCTGATATTGCAGTTCATGCAGGGAAGTTTAGTACTCGTTATGTGAAGGGACAGCTATGCCTTGTCCACCATGCTTGTCAGAACAACAAGCTTTCATCTACTACTGCCAGGTGGAAGCATATTTTGATTCTCATAGAATAGACATGCTTCTGGACATCTGGGGTTCCAGAATGGAGCCAGTGGTCAACCTGAATAGATGACAATTTTCTAGGATTTGTCTGACCCTCATTATGGTGCTGCAATATTTATCATTCCTACACTTTTTCAAAAACCTCTCAGCAATCACCACATCAATTTGATGATGAGTTGGGATCATTGTTAGCATTCACCTTGGTTTGATTATCGGATTCTGCATTTTCCCTAGTCTTTTGGCTGGAATGTTATAGGTTTTGTTGAATAGAGATGAGTTGTTGGAAGGAATTCATATACCTGCTGCCACCTTCTATGGGTTACATGAGACTTCTTTCTCCAACCCATGATTTTTGCAGGTGTTCTAGAGTCTTCGGGTTCAAGGGCTGATGTTGGTCAAGGGAGAAGTGGAAAGAGACATTTCAGTTCTTCCTGTGCATCCAGTAATCAATCTTTCTCATATAAATAAGTTCTTAGATCCTCCAAAGTTCCATTGGAGTCATTCCTCACTCTGCAGTTGTTATTTTTGCTAGGATGTGGATTACCAAGTTTGATGTCACTGATACTTATCTAAACAATCTCATAACGAAGTTGTCCCACCACTATCTACATTTGGTGCACAAGGATTAGGTGCTGCATTTCATGGCTCAGCCCTTCAGACTAGCATCAGCTACAAATTTTTCTTCTCATCTCCATTCCCTGGGCCTGTGCACACACCATTACATGGTCGACTGGTTACTGCTGGCACCATCTCGTCAGTTGGTGGAATGTCACAACCAGATTCTGCTTTCTGAAGCAACCAAGGCAGGAATTGTTATCACACCCGAGAAGTCTTTTTGCACTCCAACACAATATATCATCCATCTGGGTGTCTTTTTCTACATGTATTTTAGTCAGGGTTAGCCATCTTCCATCCAATTCTTACTCACGTTTTCTTCTTCAACTTTGCAGATGATTCTCTTTTAGAGATGTGTGCATCACTCAAATTCCTCATTCCTTTGGGATGAGTACACGTGAAATAAATTCAGTGGTCTCTCTGCAACCAATGGAACATGAACAGCATTCCACTAATTTCTCCAGTCCCCTTATTCAGGATCAAAATCCTCGATCTCCAGTGGTGGTTAGATCAGAACAATACTACAATCGGTGTTCCTCTGCCACTACCTCATCCAGTGATCCATAGCAGTAAGGATTTCCAGGGCCTATGGGCTGACAACGAGGCTTCCCTCCACATCAGTGCTTTAGAACTTCTTGCTGTTCAAAGGGTGATTTCTCAATGTCTGGAATTACTGAGAGTAAAGTGATCATGCTTCACTGTGACAATACTATGGTGGTGTCTTACATTTCCCGTCAAGGGGGCACTTGGTCCAGGTCTCTCTATTTTCAAACCTTGGATCTTCTATATTGGGCTCACTCCCACAGTATCGTCCTACTAGCTTGCCATGTTCCAAAGGTAATGAATTTGGGGGTGGATTAATTGTCTCGACCAAACAAGATTCTCCCGACAGAATGGATGCTTTATTGAATGATTTTCCATTTGATTTACTCTCAGTTCAGGATACCAATGATCAATGTATATGCCACTCATTGGAACACTCAATTACTAGCATTTTGGTCCTTGGTACCTCACCCTTAGGCATTGGCAATATATCCATTCAGTCAGAACTGGTCTAGATTGCAACTATATGCCTACCTATCAATTTATCTGTTATCCAGAGTCCTAATGAGGATTCATTCAACCCTTGACACATTCTGTTGGTAGCACTGGATTTGTTGGCTCAACCCAAGTTTCTGCTTCTGCTGTATCTTCAGGAGTGCCCACCTCTGCCACTTCCTCTTTTGCCATTTCTGTCGAGGCAGCCATGATCCAACATCTTCCACACACCAATCCTGGAGCTCATGCTTCACGTGTGGAGGTTATGCGATCCTTCAGTGGCATCTGGGTTTAACTTCTAAGGTTGTTATGTACCTGTCTCAACCTTTGCATCACTCCACAATGGACATTTATCTACAGAAATGGCACACATATCTGCAATGATGTATTGTGAGGAGGTTGAGCCTCCTTCATCCATATATGCCAACCTTAGCTCAGATTTTGACAAGGATTTTGCATCTTCCACAATCACCCTATATAATGTGGCCTTATTGGCTACCCTTAGATACTCAAAGAGATAGAAATTCTCTGAGTTCCCAGTGCTTTCCAGCCTTCTCAAGTCATTTCTGGTTTATTGTCTCAAACGACTGTTTCAGTTACCTAACTAAAATATGAAAGTGGTGTTACATGTTCTTTCTCAAGATCCATTTGAGCCCTTAGCCTCATATACCGGGTATCACCTTTCCCTTAAGGTTTATTTTTTTGTTGTTGATGTTGCTGGTTGGAATTGTTTGCTCTGTAGAGGCACAGGATGCTTTATCATTTTACCTACGTCCTTCTATACCCAGATGGGTCCTTCTTACCTAAAACACTGTCAGCCAGGGAAGGGGATTAATCTTTTTCACTGATTCATCTAACAACTATTTCTCCCCTCTATGACAAATTGGATCCTGATCATTTGTTATGATGAGATATTAGGTTGTCCACACCAAAGTTTTTAGAAGTGCTAGACAATGGCTTTTTGTTCCTTCAATTTCCTCGGATTCATCCCTGGTTACCTTGATGGGGTGGGTTTGATAATTGATCCATATTGCTTATTCTGGACTCTCTTTGGAGGTGAGGAGACTTCTGTGAGTCACATCTCATCAGATTCATCCCATTTCTATGTCCTTAGTGGCCTGGTTGAATTGCCCACTGGAAGACATGGAGCGAGCTGGTGTGTGGACCCCCCCCCCCCAATACTTTTGTCTCACATTAATTGCATGATTTGGCAGTATCTTCCTCTGAGGGTTTTTGACTACCCCCTGTAACTATATTAACTACATCTGCTAGATTATACAGAGGGGTGAGTAGTTTCATTACTAATCTCATCTCCTCTTTCTTTTCAAGTGTCCCTTACCTTTTTTTCACAGGATCCCACTCTTTGGTGAGTGTTGCCCAGTCAGATGTACTTTTATCAAACCAACCTGTGTGGGAGCCTACTCATAATATCAGTTCAGGTTTGATGCTCAGCTATCTGGTTGGGTTGTTCTTTTTTATCCATATCAGTTCAGTACGTTGTTCATGGAAGAGAATCTATTGTCTCCTTGTAATTCCGATTGCAGAGTGGTCCCATCCTGGGTTTTGGATTGTGCACAGTTTGTTCCATGTTTTTCCCATAATTCCAGGGGCAAGTGGAATTTACCTTGCCCACATGGTTGGGGAGTGAGAATGAGTGTTCATAATTCCAGACTGGATGAGTTCTGTTTCCTCTGGTTAAGTATGGCATACAGGATTCTATCATTTCAAGTTTAGGGTGTTGCCTTTTGGACTTCTTCAAGTTGAGGAGAGGGTTTATCCACTTTAGTGTTGCTTATCTTCTCAACATGGTTCTGGTGGCTCAGAATGTGGTCCAAATGCTCTAGCTACCAACATGGGATTTAGAGACTATGTCCCTATAATTCCGATGCCAAGCAGTGAGACCTCAGCTACCTGGTTGGGGATCATGATCTATGTAGACACATTCTGTATGGATAATGCCATCACCAACCCCTCCACCTTGTCAACTGGGATTCTAGCTGTAGTGTGATTTGAGGTAAGTATGTTTTGGAAGTTAACATTTTATTAAATGAAAAATGTATTTCCAATAATACTTACCCTTGTTCTCACTCACCCACCCTTCCTTCACACTAAGAGCTGGGGGTTAGATACTGCAAATTTGGTCAGTCTTGAAAAAGTGACAATATTATATGAAGGAGGTGCTTATATACAGTACCAAGATAGAGGGCACATTGAAAAAGTTGGAGAGTGTCATGAGAGAAATATTGCCAAGGGCAATTAAGTGAGGAATAAAAGACTGGAGCAAGAGAGAAAAAAATCAGATCAATGCTTAAATGGGCAAAGGGAAGAAATCCTAGCAGTCAAGTAGTAGCTGTAGTGTTAGTAGAGGTAAGTATTTTTGGAAATATATTTTTGATTTAAGAAAATGCTAACATAAAAAATATCCAAAAACTCTGCATTTTTAAATGGTAGTCCCTACTTTATTTCTGTGGAACATATATATATTTTTGATTTCTACACATTACTGTAATGCACATACATAGTTTCTTAATACACTTTTCATATGTAATTGTAATATCCCTTCCACAGCTTTTTTAATACAACTTTCTAGTCACTTTTAGGCACTGTACTTGCACAGACTTTTAGTACACTTTTTAGTAATCTTTGATGTTTTATTCTAATGGTTATACACAGTTTCATAATGCAAATTACTAGTCACCTTTTGCGCATTATTCTAATGTCCATACACTGCCTCATAATGTATACGACTGGTCATTTTGATAAAAAGTTTAGAAGAAACAAGCTTCACAGTCCAGATATATATAAAATATTTTTATTTTATTTTAACTAATGTTTCACCTTTGCAGCTTCCTCGGGGTTTACATTTTTGTAATGTTCTTGCACAGCTTCATAATGTAAATTATTTATCATCTTTTATATATTTTTCTAACATCCATGCACAGCCATATAATATAAATTACTAGTCACATTTTAAACATTTTTATAATAAATATTCTGATATTGTTTGATGATGTTACTGCAAGAGTTGATGAAGGAAGTACTGTGGATTTGGTTTACCTTGATTTTCAGAAAGCATTTGATAAGGTACCTCACAAAAGACTTGTTACAAAAATTAAATCTGTGGGTGTTGGGAAAATGTTATTAAATTGGATAGAAAATTGGCTGGAGAGTAGAAAGCAGAGAATAGTAATAAATGGAGTTAGATCTGATTGTATGACATTTACAGGTGGATTGCCTCAGGGCTCTGTGCTGAGTCCTCTGCTGTTTGTGATTTATATCAATGATACTGATTTTGGAACGACTAAAATAATATTGAAGTTTGCAGATTACATTAAGATGTTTGGGGTGGCTAACTATCAAAGATGCTGTAGATGATGTTTAACTATCCAAAATGTAAGGTGATTTGTGTAGGTTTTCACAATTCAAATTATTGTTATAATTTAAATAGGAATACATTACATACTGTGGTTGAAGAAAAGATCTTGATGTTGTGATTGAAAAATCACTTAAGTCATCTAAACAGTGTATTCCAGCGTATAGGATTTTGGGTAGCACCTATAGAAATATTGAATACAAGACCAGGGATTCAAATTCAGTGATGAGGAACCCACTTTGAGACTAATAATGGCTGGAGACAGCTTGAATGGGTAATGAAGAAAAACTTTAATATAAGTTTAACATAACAGCAAATGTACAACATTTCGACAAGGTTTTGTCATCACCTGATTATTAAGGGTATTGATAATAAAGATCCATTAAACGTTTTTATGTTTACCAGTGAAAGCAATAGGACAAAGGGTCATAAATTCAAATTTTGGCAGCGTAGTATTCCTCTGTAGTTTATACAGTATTACTTTTTAAACAGGGTGGTTGGTTTTTGTAATGAGCTGCCTTCAAGGGTGGTGGAGGCAGAAAATTTAACTGAGTTTAAGAAAAGATTGGATGAATACATGAGTAGTAAAGGGTGGTTATATTTGGGAGCTGTGAGGGACATCCTTGATGGGCTAATAAGTTCCTTTTTGTCCCTTTAGAATTTTAAGAATTTATAATTCCCACATGCAGCTTAATAATACAGAGTCCTAGTTACCTTTTACGTGTTCTTCTAATTTCCCTTCACAGCATATCATTACAAAGCACTAGTCACTTTTTACACAACCTTTTAATGTTCATGCACAGCCTCATAATACAGTTTTGTCATATTTCACATTCTTTTGATGTTGTTTCTAAGGTATTGTTGTTAAGAGCAAAACTACACAATGTATTCTACTCGCGATGAGTATCAAAACCTGATTTTTAGCATTGTAAGCTTGTAGATTTATATATATGTTAAGCCAATAAATCAAGGTGATCTCTACAATACAAATATAATAATACATAATTAAAAATAGTAAAAAAGATATATTAAACACCTACTTAATGTATAAATAAAAGCAACATTAAAGGAAAAATGTTTACTTTTCTACGATACACATAAACAGTAGTTGTTTGCTTTCTATATTGTTACAAATGTGATTTTTTTTGAATAAATTAATATCTGTATAAATAACACTTAACACTTTAGGCTGTCTTCCTAATAACTTTTTGTGACCATTAGTTTAATTTCCCTCTCTAGGTTCCAAGTATGAATTTCTTGTGAATGGGGATGCTAAAAAGCAAGTTAACAAATTTATAAGAGAAGACCATAACTTTCAGGAAATATATGAGGTGAGGTTACACTACAATGATAACTAGTCTGTATTGCAGATTTTTTAAAACTTGTGAATGGTTACTCTTAGCTTTTTGTAGTAAATATCTGAACTATTCACTGAGATGGACATTATCAACTTACTCTCCTTAGGATATCTGTACTAGATGTCTGAATGATGTACTGAAATGGATGTTATCAACTTCAAGATACTTGTAATAGACATTTGAATGATTTCAAATTATCTTCTTCAGGATATTCATGAAAGTTATTTACATGTTTGATGAGATGGATATTATTAGATTATTCCCCTTTATGATATCTTTATGATATATCTAAATGATATATTGAAATGGATGTTATTAACTTATTCCAATATGATACCTTAGCTCCATTTATATAACAGCTTTTCTTGCTCAGTGCTGCCATCTATGTGCACAAATGTTTCACTTATCACTAGCCTTGATACTCCCACCTACCCTGCTTCTTTTTTGACTAATCTTGAAGAGAAGATTGGGTTCTACAGAATAGAGGGAGCCAAGAGGGTGTGTTGCACTCCTATTAGTGGAGAGTTGTTGCATGCTTATTTGCATGTTACAGCACAGCTGTACCATGTCAAACATGTAGGGTAGGTGAGAGTTTCAAGGCTACTGGCAAGTATTTGGTTATGTGTTAGGATGGAGTTTAGTCCTCTACATTTTCTTCAGGTTCTCTTCATGGACATTTACTTAAGTTTTTTTATGATACATTAAGGAATGTTAAGAGGCTTCTTGTTTTGAGAGTTAACAATTCATTTTAGTTTCTTTTTGTGAATCTCTTTAATGGATGCATGTGTTGTTTGTTGTGTTGTGTATCTTCTAACATAGTTCATTAATGCTGTTTTGTATCATGTTTTATTTATATGGTGATGTTTGAGACTATTTTGGAGCATGGTGTTATTAAGTTTTTGGGTTAATCTTTGATATTGTTTATTGGTAATTTAGTCTTAAATCTTCTGGTTATGTTGTTTAAGTTCATGGATGAAGGTTACGTATCTTGTTTAACATACAGTTAAGTGTTTTCTAAATCCCTAAGATCATTTCAAATTACCCCAACAGTGTAAAGAGAAGTGCCTAATTTACAAATATACATAATAAAATAATAGGATATGAATCATGCTTTAAACAATTAATAATAAAAGAAACTACCTAACTGTTAATAACATACTCATTTAACCCTAGAATGCTAGCATTAGATTTTTAATCATTAACAATAAGTAGTATGGGGTTATAGTGACCCCACAATGATGTTCTAGGCGTAATGAAGTGTAGTGAATAATGTACCAGACTTTCATCAAGGACACTAACAACATAGAAATAGTCTTACTCAGGACTTCCATTGAGACAGCAACATAGACTAAAACTATTTAAGAATTATAATTTAGTTATAAAAAAAATTACTAATTAGTAATTAGTTTTAGACACTTTTATAAGACACTATCTATGACAACCATAACTGGGTTGGTTTGGCTGAGCTGTGATTAACTCAGTTTTATATCTCAAACTGAAATTTTATTATGTAATAATATGTCTACTATTTGGGGAAATTTTTTCATGACTATTATAAGAAATACTGACCATAAGTCATAGAAAGTGCTTATTTCTAAAATATATAATATTTTGATTGTTTTATTCACTTTTTATCGAATCTTACCTGATCCTGCAAAGCTAAATTATTTACAATTTTACGCAAATAATATTTCATTTGAGGGGGGGTGGCGGGATAAGAAGAATATGATGATCTTCTTAGACTTTCACAGTGAATGGTTAAGTGTATTAAGCATACATTTCTATCCAAAACAAGTGTAAATATTGTTGTCTATCTGTCTGTAGATGATTAACTTTAGTTCCAAGAACTTAAATTATGTTAAAAGTTGAGTTTTCTTGATTGTATAATTAGTCTGTTCAACATTAGACAGGCAGAGATGGAAAAATAATAATGAAACTATTTTAAGTTAAGAATAGTGCTACTAATAACCATGAATACATTGAAGATCCATACTGTTGTAACATACTACCACTAAGAGACCTTGAAATGACTTATTGCTGCTTATAAAGAATGAACATGGAAAACTTAATTATCAATAATGGCTTGTACCTTTTAGAAATTCTTACTGTTGTTTAATTCTGAGCATCAACACAACACTTAGAAGCATTTCTTATTGTATAATCTGTCAGGTTTCCATTGAAGTTCTATCAGCTAGAAACCATTAATGAAATATGATTACTGGATCATACATTCTAACCTTTATTGATATGCTTTTATTTCAATCCTAATCATCCAGAACTAATGTAATAATCTTTATTTAGAGTTTACTCCTATATTTTAAATCCAAATATTCAGTGGTGGGATTCAGCCGGTTCGCACCGGTTCGTGCGAACCTGTTATTAGAATTTAATGACCTCCACAAACTGGTTGTTAACAATCGTATGTATAGGCCTAATAATAACGTTACAACTTACAAGTACGCGTGTTTACAACGCAACTTTACTAGCAGGCTAGGCGGACTAGGTCTACTAGATCTCTGATGAATCATTTGCCAGCAGGTAAGTGTTTTTTTATACAGATTCTTATGATCTTATCTAAATTATTATTATTAGATCTAACTTAGTTATATCATCTACTATAGGCCAAGCGTTTTAGGCCTACGTGTGAGTGCAAATCTGTGCTGAATTATTAGCCAGCGGGTGAACGCTTTTTCTACAGATTCTTATCTAAATAATTACGTTAATCTATTATTATTATACCTAAAGTTAGATCATCTATATACATAGCTCTAGGCCCCTAGATCTATATAATTAATATACCTATGTACAAACTTTTATAAGTTATATTTTCTATCATGATTGTTACTTAAATATACAGCAAAATATAAA